AATATCTAGGAGGTGTTTGAACAGAGGACGTTAAATGCGTAACCAACATTCGAAGGTTTATTGGAATAGCGAAAGTTCCCGTCCAAAAGATGACAGAAGTAAAAAGAAGCAAAAAAAATGACGGCATAAACAAAGAAATGATTACTGGAATATATTGTACTGAATGCTGGACAGTCTCCTCACAGATGAAGAAGAAAGTTTGGGCAATAGAAGTGTGTTTCCACAGATTATCATTGACTGAACATAATGATATTTCAAGGTCATTTCAGCACAAATATACTTTCTCGGGCTAACATTTTCCGCTGACATGAAATGTAAAGGATATATTGAATCAACTGCTATATATACTGTTAGAAAAGTTGGTTTGCTCTATAGTAATTGATGTATCTTACAAATTTATAAGTATACCATTCGTCCATGCTTTGAAAATTGCTGCTGTCATATATTGTCTGGTGCTCCTGATTTACATTTAGTGATTCTTTAAAAAATCCAAAAAGAATCTGCTATTTTATAGTTCCTGACCAAGCATCTCACATTCAGTCACTTTTCCGTGGTCGTAATGTCGCCTCTCTTGGATATTTCTTTAAATACATTCACGCTAATTGTTCAAACGAACTTTCTTCTATGGTATCTAAAGTTTATGGAGTAGATTGTCGAAAACGCCTCAGCATTTTACAGTTGAAATGACTATGTGTAAGCGTTAAGTTATATGCTAACAATTTCTTCTATAGTTACGGCATCATGCTTCCAAATTAACTTTGTTACTCAAAGATTGATAACTACTGTCAACCGCTATCTTCTCTCTTCTTCTTTTTTATTATTCTCTCTTAATATTTCTTACTCATACTCTGTAACACTCAGTAACTCTTTGCGTCTTAGCGCCTATATTATTACATTGCTTCGAATGAAGATTAATATATATATATATATATATATATATATATATATATATATATATATATATATATATATATATCTCCTCATTCAAACTTTTCCATTTTGCCTAAATTGATAGCCAAAGACTATTACTAAGAAACATTACTTTTTTTTTTACTTTACATTCAGCAATCAAAATAACAAGATTTACACCATCTTCCTAGCAAAGCATCGTCATGCTTCAGAACACTGTCGGTAGTTATTTTGTACGAAGACTATGGACACGGATTACTGGATACTTTCTAGGACACTGAAGCTGGTTTGATTCACCGAAACGTTCCCCCACTCAAGTCTTATAGAATTGATACTGGTTCAAAGGATTATCTATAATCTTGACGTAATTCGTTCTGACAGGGCGGAACAAACAGGAAAGTATTTTACTTTTGTTCCTTATCTAAGCCCCATTGTGTGTACGCATGCGTAATCTTTTTCTCACGTTGGGAATTTTCTTTCAGTCTCCCAAGGCTTCTTAGAATCATTGTTGGCGCTCTCGTCAGAGAATACCAATCTTTATAAATCCGAATGCCGTAGTAGCTGTTTTCTTCGACAAAGATAAATGTCCTTGTAACGAAAACTAAGATGCAATCTGATTGCTGTAGATATAGCTTTAGCTCTAACTTGTATGATAACGTAGCGGCAATATTGTACAGCATCATTAATATTAAATTGCATAAAACATTAAATTACATAAATTATAAAGATTAAATTACACAAAATATCGACAAAATCCTGGATACGTAACAGTTTCAACGACTTCAAGCTGAGTCGACTAAATCGGTTCACATCAAATTATGAAATAGCAAGGAAGCAATTTGATAGATTTTTTCTTTAATTAAGTTAAAACTGTTTGAGACTAGGTTTGAAAGTAGAAATTTCATGGAGGGTAAAATACATATTGTCGAGTGTACTAATTCTTCTTTTATGTGTTATGTCAGTCGAGGTTTTACACAGCATCCTGTCTTTTTTACTTATTAGCAAATATCTTTCCTACACCCATTTCCGCGAACCATGAACAGTGCTCATTATGTAGATTATTATCCGTTTCTCTCTGTCCTTTCATGCATTATACCCTGTGAGTGTCAATTTTCCCAAGTAAACTTTCCTTCTTTCACCAAAATTTCAATTTATGTATGTAAGTATATGTGTCCATGTCTCCTTTTGCACCATCCGCGTATTCTCGAGTACTTTAATTGATATCGGGTGTCTCCAGAAATGTATAGCCTCGGTTTGGAACGAGAATCTGAAAATTGAATTTGCATTCGAGTCAAGAATTCATTTTCGAGAAAATATAACTGGAGATGTATGAATACATGGATTCCTCCAGTTGAGGATGAAATAGTAAAACAGGTTGGACTCTTCAGCTTAGGTTGGCAAGCAATCGTTGTGAAAGAGACCCGAGAATTCAAAACCGTATTTATCCGTGGCAAAGCACATCCGATCCACATAATGAAACTGTGTACCTCTATGATCCCGAATGGGACCGGAATTGTTTGACAGTTTATTTTCCCTTAAAACCTTCTCGCTGCTCATATATTCCGGTATATTCATAGCATTCTTCTGTATGACCACATTCTTATTTAATTCTCCCTGCAGAGTTCTTTCAGAACGTGGGCAATCTTTGTTCTCCTCAATTTCCTGCTCTTTTTTTGTTTTCCTATCTCTCCTAATCCCTGTTCTGCCAACTATATACACAAGCGTCTTAGGTAGGTTATTCGCTGCTTTACTTTGGCCGTCTTGCTTTCAATATTTCCTGTGGGTGTCAGATTCTCCTAGAAAGTCTTTTTTGTTTATGTACCCTAGAAATTTCAGATATCGCATTCTGATTGTATGTAGCAGTGTCCTTTTCGTTTTCCCTTTATTTAAAATTTCGTCATGACTCACCGTCACATGTTACCGCTATACTATTCCCAGCATCCTTTTGAAGAACAATATGGCTTTAATCTCTTTTACATATGTGATGAGTATATCCTCCATTCACTAGCATATAGAAGGGGCGATATTACATAATAGATCAGCAGGCTTTTCTCTTTTTCCAAACGTAATATTCCTATGCCTTAATACTTTGTTCGGTGTAATATTGTCTGTTTTTTGTTAAAAAAAGTTTCTAAATATTTAGCTTTTCTTTCTTGCTTCATTTTGGTGTTTTCAATTCGTAGTGCACATTTTGGGCTGTTTCTTTTATTGAAAAACGCACATTTCCTCATTTTACAATAGAGTCCTTCAAAACAGTTAGATTTCATAGATATTGCCGTAGAAATGTAGTTTTAATCACTATGTTTCCCTCACGATATATTATAATGGTTTTATTGTATTGAGAGAAAAGAGAAATTAAAAGTAACGGCAATAATCTGACACCCATTCTTCGCTTTATTCATAAGAGGACAATGCCTGCATTGAATCGTTTGTCTAGATCTCACTATCCCATTAACCAAGACCTAGTTTAAAGGAAGCTAATATATATATATATATATATATATATATATATATATATATATATATATATATATATATATATACAAATGAAGTAGTGTCATATTTTTGCTATTATCAAAACGGTTTTGCCGTTCGCTCACTTCGGTCTTATCAGATGTTTTTTGATCTGGAAAACGTTGAAAGAAATCGATGTGAACCTTTTATTTTACTCGTTCCGTTGACCGTGTTTAAACATATTTCGTCTAATTTTTATTTAGTACTGCTTAGTAATTACTGCAGCCGTTTTAACCTGTGTAGTGTTTATATTTTCATTCCAGGGAAAGCTTAGCAGTTCAACACAATACAATCTATTGGATATTTTATAAAAAGAGGTTACAGGTTATGTAAATGTCGTATCTCTATCTGTTCTATTTTATCCAGTGGTCCCAAGTTTTCATGTATTATAGAAGAGTCTTATTTGCTTTATTCAATTTCAAGCCACTTATATTTACTTATTTCGTTATATTCATTAACAAATATATTTTCACCTGGCGCCACTGTCATATTTTTTGTTCATGGTTTTTAATCAAAATCTCGGAACTGTTAATTAGTATGAATGGGAAAGTTCCATGGAATATTGGCCTTATTTCATTCTATCAACGTTATGCTTCTATCACATTAAATTATATGACACATTTTAATGCTGGCATAGGCTCATATAAATTACTACCCATATATGTATGCTAATCTTTGTATTGTTTAGCTACCCGGATTGGATGTCCAGCCACTAAATGGTTAACGGTCTCAGTATTTACTATACATATTATTATTAACAAAACAAAATTATTGACGTTATGCATACAATATTTTTCGACACTTAGAGAAGAACGCGATTTAATGGCTTCAGTTATTATGTCACACAAACATTTATTTTATTCTAACGTAATCTTCCTGTTTTTTAATTCTCTTCTTATGTTTTAGAAAGCATCTGTCGCTATCCCAGTGTGTCATCGGATTTCAGGTTCGCATTTTCGTTCTCTATTAAAACACTTTCTATCTATTTAAATTGTTGTACTTTTTGACTTCCATTTTCTCTCAGAATCCTTTCACTGTATAGGTTCAATATGTTTGGTGAGAAACATATTCTTGTTTTACACCCTTTTCTATAAGTGTAAATTTAATGAATTCATTTTCTATTTGTATGCGTTATGCTGTCATATTCTGGGTTATTCTGATATCCCTTCTTATATGCCAATGTTACCTAGCAGTCCAAACATTTCTTTGTGACATAGTTTAGCAAATGCCTTACCGTTTCTAAAATGAGACATTGTAAAAGTAGAAATTGTAACCGGTAGTTGCAGCAAGACACTTGGAGTATAACTGGAAAATATTATGGTTACTGCATCCAACCATTCAACATAATTGTTTATGAATAAGGAAGATAGTCTGATTTTACAAATTAGTCGATTTCTGCCAATTCCTTTGCGAAAACATTGATCTAGATAATAAACTATCGGAAGTTGATTATTGTCGGAAACGGAATGATTCATTTTTTTTTCAAATTCCAGTACTTTTTTTTCTGTATCGTGCCAGAGACGGGCATATTTTATTTGTGACATAATACAAACATTGTGTTCATTACTATTTCAGCTGATGGTCATATCTCGTTTAAACACTCCAGTTTCCGTACGATCACCGACGTTAAGCAACGTCGAACCTGGCCAGTACCTAGATAGGTGACCGCTTGGGAATACCAAGTGCTGTTTGAGTGTTGTTGATGTAATTGATAATGGCTCGGAATTGTTAATCGGAAAGACAAGTTCCAATTCCAGTTGGGTTCGTTATATTTATTTACGCGCAAATACTCTGAGGAAATACAAGCAGTCACCTCATATATTCCCAGCTATGGGATAATTATAAGATTTGTATCACTAAATCATTATTATCTAAAAAGAATACTTACAGTCTCGAAATATTTTCTGCTCTTAAAAAACACGCAATCATTGCTATTTCATTACATTTGTAATACTATTATTATTTCTTCTGATGTATAATTCTGCTAATGATATGATTCTTATACAATAGTATCTCGATCAGCAGCATTACGAAGAGCATCTGTTGCAAACTTATAGATAGAGTGGCCGATGTTTCTATAACTACAGATACACAGATAAGCATTATATTTTACTTTGCTTACCAGTCGCGTTTGGCCAAAGATCATTGTCTTTGAATTGAAAGTTCATTTATTTCTTATACTATATCTGTATCCCATAATTTCACATTAATCAATATTCCCCTCGTGTAAGCATCAGACAGAGTGGAGCTGATATTCCCGCATAAAATATTACTGATGCTTGACTTGTTTCTCACTAAACTGCCCTGCACCATAAGAATTACAAAGACACTACACTTTTTATCCCCTTGCATAATGGCATCAGCCATTACGCATGCGTGTAAAATGAATGAATTGGCAGAGAAAGGAGTGCACTGCTCACCGATTACAGATATGTTTTTTTGATTGGACGATAAGGCAATTACATTGTGTCTTGAGTGTTTTGAGCTAGCTATACTCGATCTAAGTCAAATATTCTAATTTGGTATATGTTGGAAAGAAAAATTATGTAAATATTACCAATATCATTAGGATGACAATAAAATTAATATGGCGCAAGATTAATTCTCTATATAGTGCTGTTCAATAAAGTGACTCACCTGATTTTTTTACTAAAAATATTTTTTGTTTATTGTTTTGGGGATATAATAATTTTTAATTTTACTAATATAAAGACACCTTCCCGACCATCTAAGAAAAAAGTTTATTCACCCTAAGATATTCTATTGATAATTATAAATTTGGATATAAATGAGATTCAGGAAAAAAACTGTGCAAAAAAAGTGACTCAGTGACTATCGCATTCTAATGAGTAAACTGGTAGATTTAAAGGGCTTTTGACAAAATATTGAAAACTGTTTTACAATACACTCAGAACAATATTCTAGAGAATTCTAGAACAGCTTAAATTAAATCTAGAGTATTCCAGAATATTCCAGAAAGCCTCATAGAGTATAAACACAGATTGAAGTAGCCACTCAGAACCACTTAATGCATCTATTATTGCCTTCTCAAAAGCAAGCAAATCTACGAGAGAAATTGCAGAAATTGCTATAATCTCGCAATCAACTGTCCTTCGTGTGCTTTGGGCACATAATGATGCCACTCTTGCTCCAAGGAAGGAAACAAGGAGACGAAAGACAAAGATTGTTGATCGAACTGTCAGGGTAATTAAGAGAGATGTTGCGAAAAATAGGACTATACCTAGCCAAGAAATTGCAGCCACTCTAAGCGAAGAGCAAGGTGTTTGTCTTGCCTCTCCAACAGTCCATCTGGGGCTGTTAGAACAAGGCTACAACTCTTGTACACGAAGGTTTAAGCCGCTAATAAGCAAAGTCAACAAAGCCAAGAGACTTGAATGGGCTCACTATTACAAAAATTTCACCGTAGAAGACGGGAAGAATGTTCTCTTCTCCGATGAAACGAAAATTGAGCTAAATTCAAAGGATAAGCAATCTAAAATCGGAAGAAGAAGCTTTGAAAGAATAGAACTGGTTTCTTAAAATCTATTGAAAAGACCCTCAGGAGCAAGCAGCACAAGAGAATTTTAGAGTCTTGTCTGCTCCCTTCTGCTGAAAGGGTGCAAATTGACCCCACCAAGCTCATTTTTATGCAGGATAATGCTCCCTGTCACAAATCAAAATTGATGAGGGAATACTTTGATGAGAAGCAGGTGAGTTTTATGACATGGCCGCCCCAATCTCTTGACCTCAACCCCTTAGAAAACCTATGGTGCATTATAAAATACAGGCTCTCGAGAAAGCAGCTAAGCAACAAAGACGATTTGATTGTGAATTTCATGTCCAAATGGAATCCAATGCTTGGAGATGACATTTGCCAGAACCTAATCAAGTTAATGAGAAAAAGGGTTGAAAAGGTTATTCAAAATAAAGGAGGTTCCATAGATTATTATATATTTCGAACTATATTACCTATTAGAAATAAATTATACCTCTATTATTCTTTATTTAAAGCTGTTCGGTTATGTTTCTATTATTTACTATTTGCAGGAAATATGTGAGTCACTTTTTTTTGCACAGAGTTTTCCCCTAAATCTCATTTATATCCAAAATTATAATTATCATTAGAATACCTTAGGGTGAGTAAAGTATTTTCTATGTGGTCAGGATGGGGTCTTTATATAAGTAAGTTTAAAAATTAGTTTGACCCCGAAAACAATAGGCGAAAATTTTTTTAAGTAAACAAATCAGGTGAGTCACTTTTATCGAACAGCACTATATGCTTATTTTACTACAATTATTTTCCTTCACGTTAACCTTCATGTCATAAATTGAATTGTAGCCAAAACTAATAAAAAGAATATGGGTTGGGATGTAGATCGCTAAAAAAGAGCATACCATGAAGAAAAAGACGCCAAACTTGACGAAAACTAAATTTTATCGTCTAAATGTTTATGTTATTATTAAGAAGAAAGATCAAAGTATGTTGCAGTTATTTTTTTTACATTTTGTAATAGTTCCTAGCACGTCCGAAATTTTCGTTAAAAATCTTGGTTTTTTGAGTCGGCAAAATTGCCCATTTTTTCCATTTTATAAAAAAAATTAAAATCTTCTTTGAAATTCTTTTAAATACCAATTATCATTTTCTTATTTTAAGAAAATCAGAAATTATAATGTTTATTTAAAATATTTTGAACCAAGTCTAACTTAGCTTCTGCGCCGAAAAGATGCAATTTGAAAATAAAACAAAGCTGATCATATACTTTCGCGTCACGACAGGTGATGAATGACGTATTGACGGATTCCGTGAGGATAATTTATTGTACGGAAAGAGGAAAGTGAAATTATTTACATTTAAGTGAACAAATCATTTATCTCGTTATTTTTAAGGAAAACTTTCAGCGCTCTAATTTTTTTTGTTTTTTGTACTTAGCTTTCACCTTTACGTTTAGGATGCTTTATGGAAAATATATTCTAAAGAAATTAAAATAAGTCTGCTAAGATTGATATTAAATTTCATAAGAAAGTCATCTAATTAATTTATAGGTACCTTATGAAATTTTATCAGAAGTGTACATAAAATACTATGATTTTATGTACATTTATTACATTTTACTGTGTTATTTGTAATTATATACTTTTTATTATTAATTTTGATATTTCATTTATGGAAAAATGGCATAACTGAGATTAATATAAAAATAAGATCATATAAATTTCATAAGATGATGCTGATACTTGTAGGTACCCTTCTCAGTTGAAATTGAAAAATCAAATTAACTTCTCCACACGTGTTTCGCAAAAGTAAAGCCATTAACAGCGGAGAACAGTGCTTAACTTAAATAACCCAACTTAATTGTATTCTGGTTGGTCTTCCGTACTTTATAATTACAGCCCGATTATAAACACAAAATTACATTTCTTAATTACTGCGGATCTTCTGATTAGTCAAAATGATACAATTTAAAACGCGCTGAAAAAGGACACTTAGAAACCCGATGCGGCTTTCAACTAATTTTATAATATTTTAACAACTTAAATGTAAAAATCTATTATAATTAGAAAAATATCAAATAATTGTATTAAAAATTCATTTTTCATCGAAAAAATCTTTTGCTTTCAGAAAATATTGTTCATATTCACTAATTGTCAACCAACAATATCATTAGTAGAAGTAACTGACAATAACGATTCCCTCAAACTAGTGACTGTGTTAAATATTTTCTATAACGATCCGTGGGGAAATTTATTGCGGTTTCTTCAATGTGATAGGATTTGACTGCTGGTAATATTGGATTTAAAGGGGAGATCAGATTCGTATGCTCTCAATGGGGAAAACTTTCTTTATTATATTTTCTCGAATGAGCAAACCGGTAGACGAAATAAATATTCTTTAAGAAAGGACAAAGCAATACAATAAAAAACATAAAATCAAGCGTCTGTTAGAGTAAAAATAACCACTGAAATGTTCTGTGAAAAATAACGACTGAATTAATAAAAATATGTTGTATTAAGAAATATACATGCATCTATCTATCTATATATATATATATATATATATATATATATATATATATATATATATATATATATATATATATATTCGAGTTATTAATTTTAACCAACTTATTTGTGTCTTTTGGTTTATACTTCCAAGGGTACGAAGAATTATACTTCGACCATCATGCTTCCTATTCCACATTTCTCTTAGATTCCAGTCCAATAGATTTCTCTTAGATTCAGTTTCGCGATTCGATAGAATGGTAGGTCTCTGGTATATTTTAAGTTTCTTTTTGCGCTGTTGTCGAATGTCTATAGATAATAAAATACAAGATTTTTGCATTGTTTCTTGTCTATCACTCTCTAATTTATCGTGTGTTTCGTGATCATTTTTTCTCTATAGAGACTGCATGTTCCGTTTTATGTGTGTCCTTCTAATTTTGGATTAATGATTTTTTTTTCTGGGTGAGCAGGATGTTTTAACAGATATCAGAGTTCAGATTCAAGGCTAGACTGCTGTCTTTACTTTCTCATACATGGCTTTGTGAAAGGCATAATTCTATCTCTTTTCTCCACCTTCATCTATGCCTCATCTATGACATAAATCGACAGGTATCTCTTCAATTAAATGGCAGACAAGCTAAGAGAAGCAAAGATTTTAATTCCTGATGGTAGATAAAGCAACAGTAAACA